CGATGGCGAGTCTTTTCTTGCGCTTGCATCGTGCACGCGGGAACGCCCGCACGCAATCACACACAATAGGGAACGAGTGTGGCACAATAATGGATTATTCCACGTTGAAGCCCTAAGAATCCAGAGACGGACCTGCCCTGCGCCAATGCAAATTCTGCAAACTGGTTAGATCGAATGCGCGCGGCGCTAAGGCGAGGTTGGCATTCTGAAAAGCACCCGCCCTCCATTGATGAAGCTCCTGCACACCTAACGCATGCGCGCGCCGCCAAGGCCGGATCCGTTCTGAAAAGGACCCGCCCTCCGTCCGCGCAACTCTTTCAAACGTTTGAGACGAATGCCCGCGACGCTGGAAATGTCCCGCCATCCACCCGCGAAATTGCTGCAAACATTGAAAAGAAATGTGCGCGACGCTCACGCGACAACCACACTTTATCCGTGAAACAATTTGGAGGCTTTCGATGCGAATGTGCGCGGCGCGAAAGCGGCAACCAAATTTTGAAAATAACCCGCGTTTCCTCCGTGAAGCAAACTGGGAGCTGTCAAACCGAATGCGCGCGACGCTAACGAGAGAACCACATTCTGAAAAGGACCCGCCATCCATCCGTGAATCTCGTTAAACATTTTCAGACGAATGTGCGCGACGCCAAGGAAAGAATCACATGTTGAGAAGATCCCGCACTCCATCCGTGAAACCCCATGAAACTTTTAGGGCGAACGCGCGCGACGCTAAAGCAAGAAGCACACTCTGAAAGGACCAGCCCTCCATCCGTGAAGTTTGTACAAACTTTCTAAACGAATGTGCGCGACGGAAATGCGAAAGTCACATTATAAAAAGGACCCGCCCTCCATCAGTTGAGCCCTTCTGAGCTTTGAAAGGAATGCGCGCGACGCTGAAGCGATGACCACATTCTGAACAGGACCCGCCCTCCATCTGTAAAACTGCTGCAAACTCTCCAAACGAATCTGCGAGGCGCTGAGGCGAGAACCACATTTTGAAATTCCGGGGCCCGGCGTATCACTTGCAGGGGCGGAAATGATACATTTCGCCGGAAGGGGGGGAGGCAGGGGCGATTATTCTCAAGGTTATGTTGTTGCCAATGCGTGCTGGTGTTCTTGCCCCTGTATTAGAGCATGCACTCCGTCTTACCCGGAGCCCAATCCAGCACCATCGCACACAAGTGGAACAGCCGGCACAATACATCCAGCAACGTCTGGATATCACGGTCGAGAAGCTGTGGGCCCCAATATGGGCCCCGAGAGCTCAATATGACCTTCAAGATGGCTCAATGTATCCGGAGCTGCCTCACAATGGCTTTCAATATGCTCCAACAAGCCCTAAGATTCCTCCAGGCGGCCACAGAACCATCATCATCATCGTCATCATCCTCATCACCATCAGCATCATCATCATCATCGGCACAAGCATCATCATCATCATCATCATCATCATCATCATCATCATCATCATCATCATCATCATCATCATCATCTTCATCAGCAGCAGCAGCAGCAGCATCAGCATCAGCATCAGCATCAGCATCAGCAGCAGCATCATCATCATCACCATTAGCATCATCAGCATCATCATCACCATCATCATATCAGCATCGCCATCGTCATCATATTCATCTTCATCATCAGCAGCATCACCATCGTCATCATCATCAGCACCATATGAGCAGCAATAAGAAGCATCCTCATCCTCCTCATCACCATCATCATCATCCCAATCATCATCAGCATCATCATCGTCATCATCTTCATCATCGTCATCATAATCATCACCATCATCACCACCATCATCACTATCTCATCATTATCGGTATCATCATCATCGATACCAGAATCATCATCATCATTATCAGCATCATCATTCTCATCATCACCATCATCATCAACGCCATCGTAATCGTCATCGTCAACGTCATCGTCATAGTCATCGTCGCCGACGCCATCATCACTATCACCAGCATCATCAGCATCATCAGCATCATCATTATCATTATCATCGGTGCCAGCATAACCATCATCATCATCATCATCATCATCATCATCATCATCATCATCATCATCATGAGCACCATCATCACCAACATCATATCGGCATCGTCATCGTCATCATATCCATCTTCATCATCAGCAACACCATCGTCATCATCATCAGCATCATACTACGAACAATGAAAAAAAACATCCTCCTCCCCCTCCTCATCATCCCCATCATCAGCATCATCACTATCATCAGTATCCCCATCATCACCATCATCAGCAGCATCATCACCATCATCAGCATCATCGTCATCAACATCATCATCATCAGCAGCATCATCGTCATCATCTTCATCATCGTCATCATCATCATCACCATCGTCACCATCATCACAATCATCACCATCGTCACCATCATCATTATCATCAGTTCCATCATCATCGGCACCCGCATCATCATCATCATCACCATCATCACCATCATTAGCAGCATCATCATCATCAACGCCATCGTAATCGTAATCGGCAACGTCATCGTCATCGTCATCGTCGCCGTCGTCATCATCATCACTATCATCACTATCATCACTATCATCACTATCATCACTATCATCAGCATCCTCATCATCATCATAATCAGCATCATCATCATCACCATCATCATCATCATCATCATCATCATCATCATCATCATCAACGTCAACGTCATCCTGTTCCCCCCTTCCTCCCCTTATTTCTCACTTCGCCTCCCTCCTCCTCTCCTACTCCTCCTTCTCCTCCTCCTTCTCCTCCTCCTCCTCCTCCTGCTCCTCGTCCTCGTCCTCGTCCTCCTCCTCCTTTTATGTCCGATCTCCGCCGCGTGGGGCCGCGCCGGTCAGGGGAGCGGGGCGGCCAGGAAGGTGTCGCGCCTAGCCGCTCGGCGCTCCCGCCCACGGCCGAGGGCCAACGCGATCTCGCCGGGCCTGCTGCAGTGAACCCCCCTTGAGTGGATCCACGGCGACCTGGCAGCCCTCTCCGCAGACACCGCCAAAATCGCCCCCATGGCCCCGCAGTCCCAGCTTTCCCCCCCGCCCCCACAGCGACCAGCTGCGGCCTCCCACGGCCCCACGGCCCCGCACTCCGCCCCACCCCCCACCTGCACGTGGGGGGCCGCTCCCCAGATCAAGGCGAGCTTCTGGCTCGGCTACATGCATTACCGGTATCCTTTAGACTGGATTGTGGTTGGGGGGGACAGGGGACGATAAGGCAGCCCAAGGTCCATAGGCCCACGCACAGGAAGGCCCACCCGACTGGGGCCCACATGCCCACCCCCTGACAGCTGCACCGGTTCCCAGCCAAGCGGAGCCAGGAGGCAAAAGAGGAGAAGGGACGGTGGGGGGGGAGAGCGTCACTCGCGCTGCGCAGCGCTGCTCCAGCCGGCGCGACATGTCCTTCGCTTCCTCCGCCACATCTACTGTAGCCAACGCGCTTGCCTGTCCGCCTGCACGGGAGAGTTCCTGCGCTGCCGCAGCGCCCCACCTCTCCAGCAACCTGCCAACCTCCACGCGCTGCCTGCGGAGATGCGTCGCTGCCTCGCGTTCTCCAACGATGTCCGTGGGGCTGGCAACCGTCCTATCTAACCAGAACGCGCCCTGCGACGCAAGGCGCGCCCAGACTCGGCCTGCTTCCGACGGACACCTGGCCGCTGATAAGGCTGGGAGGTCCCATTGCGCGCGAGTGTGGTGCGTCGGAATCCCTGGAGCTGGCTGGTCTGGCTCCGACCAGAACTTCTCCTCGCCAGGCCTTTGCCCAGCGCTCTCTGGATGCGCCCGGTATACGCCCACCTGGATCCCCAGTATGACGGCTGCGCAGTGTATCCCGTAAACCGCAGCCTGCTCCGCTCCAGCTATGAGAGGAGCACTCCTCTGGACAGCGGCCCCGTGAGTCGTCCAAGTATACGGAGCGGCCCCGCTTCTCCTGCAAACGGTGGACCTCTCGCCCGAACATGGGCAGGTGGAAGCAGAGTTCTGGGCCGACCCGCGCCGCTGGCTTCGTGCAGATCCTCGGGACACCAACAGAGGCCTCCTGGATGGATCCGAGTAGATGGGGTCGGAGGATCTCGCCACATCGCCGATGCATCTATGTATGGGCGATGCATCAGCGATGCATCGGCGACGTCGGCGATGCAGCGGCGATGTCCGCGTGGAGAAGATCGAGCTCCACATCGAGCCGCATCGCCGATGCATCGGCGATGCGGCGCGATCCTCTGACACCCCCATCTACTCCGACCACATCTGGGAGGCTAGAACCAAGCTGCCCTCTTTCCGAGAAGCCGCGGTCCTGCATGGCTCCCACGTGGCGCCTGCCCAAGGGCGCTGCCCAAAGGCGCGGCCCGCTTCCCAGCACACCCGCAGCTGACCTTTCTCGCCGGGGCCCTCCGTCTCGAGCTAACTCCCAGGGGCGGTAGGGACCGACGAAGAAGCTGTCTCCGCATGGCCCGGTATCCGGCAATCCGTGCGCCAGTACCACTACCTTTGCAATGCCCGTACCTTAGATAGCCCCGGTACTTACTGGACGCCTGCATGAGGACCTCCGCTATCTGCCCGCATTGGCCCCGCGAGGAAGATCTGTGAACGCGCTTGCCATGACGTGCTCCCATGCCGCTCCCGCTGCCAAATGTACTCGCAATTGGTCCACCTCCTCGCCATCCAGCTCGTCCACGTCCGAATGGTCTCGAGCCGTGCTGTACGCCTGCAGCGCTTCGGTGTCGGGGTCCAGGCCAACCCTGAGGCCGGCCCACCCGTGCAGGACCTCCCCCCTCTACCCCTCCCTCCCCCCCTTTCAGCAGTCCCCCCTCCTCCTCCTCTCCTCCTCGTCTTCCTTCTCCTCCTCCTCCTCCTCCTCCTCCTCCTCCTCCTCCTCCTCCTCCTCCTCCTCCCCCCTCGATGGCAACAGCAGCGACGACGACGGCGGCGGCGGCGACGACGGCGGCGGCGGCGACACCGCAGCGGCGGCGGCGAGACCCCGTCGGCCTGGCGGGGCCCGGGGGCGGGCGGCGGCCCCAGCAGGTCGTCCAGGCGGCGCCCCAGCGACGCGCCGAGCTGGCTGACCCTCCTCGGCGAGCGGCCCCGGCGTCGGCATCTCCGCCGCCGAAGCCGCGCCGCCGCGGGCGCCGCTCGCCGCCGCTCGTCGGCCCTCGCCAGCGCTCGTCGGCGGCGCTCGTCGCCGCCGCTCGTCGGCGTGTCATCTGGTGACGGAACAGCACGCGCTCGAACCTTGTTTCTGGAGAAGATCCAAGATGACGAAGAGTGCCGCCTTCCCCATTTATTGGGGGGGACCCAACCATGCTCGTACAGGCTGGGATGAAGAACGAAGAGGACAGAAGGAGGAAGCGAGGCAGGAGGAAAAGTACTGAATGCGTCCGCATGTCCAGATGTCATGCCCCAGGTGGATGGCCCGAAACTGACAAGCAGAGATACGCGCCAAAATGTTTAAAAAAAAAAACGCGCTCGAACCTGTAGGGAGGAGGGATGGGGAAGGGCAATGAGGTGAAAGCGCTATGCGTATAGGTGCTGGTTGTCGGGCCCCGAGGGGGGCTCCCGTTCGAGTTCGAGCGGGACCCCCATCCGTTAGCGACGGCGTCGGTGTCCGCGCTCGTCGGCGTCGGCTTACTCCTGGGGGGTCTCCGTGGGACGATCAGGAGCTGCCGTGCGGCACAAAGGAGAAAGTTGGCCGGCCCTGGCCAGCGATCGAGCCAGACTGGCCTGGAAATCAACCCGACCGAGCCGCAGTAAGCAATTTTTGTGGATGGATCTTTCAAGCTCTCCGCCGCCCCTGGCGGTGTGCGTTGCGAGCAGGAAACAACAAAGCCACCACCGTGTCAATGTTGAGCTACACCGTCAGTGCCTCGCTCTCCTGGGGTTTTGCTGTGTTCTTGCTCATTTACATGTGTCACGTGTGCGGAGCTACACTGTCAATGCCGCGATTTCCTGTGGCTTTGCTGTGTTCCTGCTCGCAACGCACACCGCCAGAGGCGGCGGAGAGCTTGAGAGATCCATCCAAAAAAAGTTCTTCTGCTCGCTGCAGCGGGCCGTGAAGAAAGGCGCCCCCCCCCCAATGCACCTTCGGGGCTCCAGGGGAGCCCCTCTCCGGCAACCCGCGAGACCCTCCCCCCGCATTTTAATGGGGCCCAGGGGCGCACAAGTAAATGCACACCAGCCCCAAGATTCCCCATATTTTATCCATATTTTCTGGGTTCTCGTCTTCCCGTCCACTTCTCATATGTTCCCGCGTTTTCCTGGGGATCGACGTTTATTTGTGTCTGTGCGTTTTCTTTGCCTCCTGACATGTATCGTCCCCCACCAATACGGAACGCCCGAGGCGGAGTACGGTCGGACCTAGGACAGAAGAACACCCTTCAAGAACATGAGTCCCTCGCCCGGCCACAACACACAGAGCATCCGAGGGTGCCCTCCTCCAGGATGCATGAGAACATCCAACAAGCCTCTGCACGCGGCCATCGCTGCGCTACTGTTCTCCTCGGGCTCGCTGGTGCTTGGGCACGCGTTGGTGCTGCAGTCCCGTCCTCGCGGGCTCGCGCCATGTACTGGCCAGGACAGTCCCGGCCGCTCTCTGTGACGCACGTCGAAATTGACGAAGAGGATGACGAAAGACACCGTGTGCTGGGATGGTGCTGCAAAGCTGTTTCGATGGCCTCGGGGAGGCCGTCAAAGCAGCGCCCATCCCGTTCTGGAGCTTGGGTATCGTCCCAAAGCGAAATGTGCGGCGCGAGCCGTCCTCGCTCGGAACGCTCATCAGGGTCTTCCATGCGCTTGTGTTGCCTCCCATACCCACCCTGTCCTGCGGCGAGTGTAGCATCTGTGCCAATTTGCTGCTTCGGGGCTTCTCCCCCAGCTTGGCCAACGGCCCCATGCCTTGGCAAACACCTCGAGCGGCAGTCGAAAAAAGCTCTGGTTCTTGATGCCTGAAGTTCTGACCAGGCGGGCACTGAATGACAGCGCCGAGCATGGCTTGCAAACGTACCAACCATTGCATGAGAAAAGCAATCTCTCCTCCATGTCACCATCACGACTGCAATACCGCAGCGCCAATACTTAGCTTACTGGCTCGAGCCAACATAGCCACAGACTCCTGAAAGCCGCCTCAGCCTCCCCCTCGCCCCCCCCTCTCCCTGCTCCCTCCTCGCCTGCGGTACGCAGAACTCGAAGCCCTACCCATGAACTCTAGCTGCCGACCTGGCGGGCTTACTGCGCATGTCCTGCAACGGTCGCCTCCTCCACAAGATACCGCTCGTCCTTCTCCTCCTCCTTCTCCTCCGCCTCCTCATCTTGGTCCACCTCCTCCTCCTCCTCCTCTTCTCATCCATCATCCTTATTCATCCTCCTCGTCCTTATTCTCCTCCTCCTCCTCCTCCTCCTCCTCCTCCTCCTCCTCCTCCTCCACCGCGTTCTCTTCCCCCTAGAATGCCACCCAAGCCTTCTCCTCCTCGTCCTCCTCCGCCTCCTCCCCTCGTCTTCCTCCCCCTACCCCCGTCCACCCCTCCCCCCCTTGCGGTCTGCAAGATTGCCAGGCGCTGACCGAGATAGACCGAACGGCCCGGCCCAGCCGTCCTCAGGGGCTCCACCAGCAGCTGCTGTGCCTCGGTGGCTGGCGCGCAGCCGAGCGCACGCCACAGCACCTCGGGGGAGGGCCAGGCAACAGCAATCCTGAAGGCAAGTACGGCAGGTCCGTGCCGTGGCGACCCCGGCATTGGTTCCTGACACCGCGGGGATCGTTCAATCTTGAACGATCGGCTTTTTCCGAAACGTCCAAATCGTTCCACATCGAAAGATTATGGGTCGCCCGCGGCGTTCAACGTTGAACGCGGCTGGCGGGGTCGCCGCCGGTTGACACGACACGAACCTACTGTAAGTGCGCTGGGCCATTTCAATTTTCACTCCTACATAGATAGCAGTTCTCGCTGGTCCATGGAAATGAATGCTGTCGCTGGGACGCAAACAACATACTCTCGAAAAAGAAACTCACGCTCGAGAGCTGGCTGGAATCGAACTGTGCGTCGTCGAAAAGCCAACCATAACAACAATGGCTTCTTTTTTTGACACGTCGCAATGTATTCAGTACTCCAGCATCGCGCTCTCGTGCTGCACCTCCTCGCACTTCAATCGAAGCCCGCGCGGTCGCCAAAGATTTCTCCACCATTTGCTCACCGATCGCGCTCTCACTGCCACACCCCACGCCGCCTGCTTAAGACATCAAGCTCTCGCATGGGATTGCGACACAGCTGGCTCAGGCACCACGCTCTCGCAGCGAAGGGGGAGCTGGGTCGCACTGTACTTGAGATGGTGCTGGCCGCCTCGGGGACGATCGCCTCTGGAACTGCTGGGCTCCTCGAGGCCCTGGGCACTCCACGTCCTCTCGCGCACGAGTTCCCTCCTCCTCCTCCTCCTCCTCCTCCTCCTCCTCCTCCTCCTCCTCCTCCTCCTCCTCCTCCTCCTCCCCCTCCCCTCCCTATCGTCCTCCCCCTCCTCCTCCTCCTCCTCCTGCTCCTCCTCCTCCTGCTCTTCCTCTTCCTCCTCCTGCTCCTCCTCATGCTTCAGTCCCCCCCCCTCCCTCCTTTCACAAGCCTTCGTTCCCCCCTGCGCCCATCCTCTCTGTTCTCATGTTCGGGTCTCCGTTCTGCGCTCTCACGTTTCGTCTTACCCGGAGTGGGTTCACCCTGAACCTCTTTCAGAGACTCGGAGGGCGGGGGCACAAGGGAGGGAGAAACACAATAATGCCAAAGCAGCTTGTCAAACCACAAGTTTCACGATGATTCCCACCAGCTCCCTAGGCGGAACGTCCAACATCTGACGATGTTCTTTTCCCTCTTCCAAAACACTGCTTCCCCTTCGGCCATGGAGTTGTTCGGGTCCCGCACGGAAGGATTCGTGCCCAAAGTGTCCAGGATTGTTCCAAGAAGGCCTCCGATGCTCCAAAATGGTTTCCAAGATGGCTGAGATGGACAGCGTGCCTCCAAGAGGCGCCAAGAGAACTACTAGATTATTCCAACGTCTCGGCGCCCCCCACGGATCCCCCCCCAGAGAGGCCCAAACCCTTCATGCACAAAGAAACATCGATAACGTTTGCCTTGTTTCGTCTTTCCGCTCCCGGTTGGCTTGTCGGCTTCCTACATGGCCCCAATATGACCCAAGAAAGCCGCCAAGAGGGGCCCAAGAGGCACCCAAGATGGCCCCGAGAACGCCCAAGGACGGCCCATGCGCACCAAGAGCGAACGACCTCAAGATGACCCCAAGAAGACTTGAAGATGCCCCCCAAAGTTCTCCTCCTCGTTGTCCTCCTCCTCCTCTTCTTCGTTTTCCTGGTCATCGTCCTCGTCCTCATCCGCATCTTTGTCGTCCTCCTACTCCTCCTCGTCCTCCTCCACCTCCTCATCGTCTTGGCCCCATCCGCGTTCTTGTCCTGGTCGTCGCCTTCCTCGTCAGGTCCATCTTCCACCTCGCCCTCCTCGCCCTCCTCCTCTTCTTCTTCTCGAGGTTAGGGCAGAGGGTCGACGCCCCGAATGAGATGAGGTCGAGAGCAAGCGGGAGGAAGACGGCGGCGACGAGGGCCCCCGGAGCCACGGGCCGCGCGGAGTAGACAGTCAAAAGCCCAAGCCCCCCCCCCCCCAAGAGGGGGACGCAAAGGAGGACGAAAGAAGAAGAGGAGAAAGGGGCCCGCAAGGGGGGCGCGTGGGCTAATAGTGTCCAGGACAAACCCAGCCCCGCAAGGGGCCGCACGGGGCCAGAAGCAATTTTAAGAGCAGCGGCCAGCGCCGAATCCACCCAAGGCCGAAACTCCAATTGCTCGCTGCGGGAGTTGGGTCTGGTGACTCAGCTGCTCACGTGCCAGGACTGCTACAACTGCTGGAACCACGCAGAATTTTCAACTGACGTTCCAATTCTGCTATGGACGGCGCGGAGGGGGCTGCGACTGAGGCCAGCCACGCAGGAAGGAGAAAGCCTGCACCATGCATCACGGGCGTCACGCGTTCGCTCAGAGCTTAAAGCTGGTGGGACAATTCCGGAGTGGTGGATGTACCCTCAGAGGTCGGCAACAGTGGAGGAAGAGCGGCTGCAACCTCCATAACGGGCATCTGGATCGCAACATCAGCAAGCTCTTCCTCTGGGAAAGAATCCGGGCTGTCGTCCTCGTGAGGAGCAGCGCTCAACGTGTCACTGGCCCGATGCCGAGGCGTGTGCCCCGCGCTGCCTTGGCCAGAACCACGTCCCGCTCCACGGGCGACCGGGTCTCCATCTTCGCCAAGTCCTTGCGCACGAGCTGGAGGGACCGCACGAGCAGGAAGACCAGGGGCACCCGCATGACGTGGTGAGAGCCATACCTGAACGACTGATGTGCCATCGCTGCACGAGGATGGCCTCAACGAGCGCACGTAGCGCGGCGGCCTGCACTGGACTTGCCAAAGACGCGCCGGCAGGGGCGATAACTATTTTGGTATTGGCCTTGCCTGCGCCCCGAGCCTGGCTCAAAGAGAAGTGCACGTCCTTCCCTGCGGCGGACTGCGTCATCACCCAATCTAGTCGAGCAGAAACTACCATGGCACGTGTGAGCGAGGAACAAAACGGACTGTCAGGTGCAGAACGAAAGCCGTCCCCCAAGCAAATGCCTGAGACAAGACAGCTGTCCTCCTCCTCCTCCTCCTCCTCCTCCTCGCTGTCCTCTAAGAGGGTCCCGAGAGAGCCCCAAGAAGACCCAAAGAGTACCAAGAAGGCCCAAACATGGACAGGATGCTTGATTGGCTCCCGCGCCGTGGGTATGACTCAAATTCACACAAGCTTATGGGCGGCTGGTCCATTACATGTTTCTGCACTTCCGAAATCCAAGCAACTCTCTGGGCGATCGTTTCTGAATGGGCTGGTGGTGATACGCGAAGCGTCATGAATTTCGTTGCTGAGCCCACATGCTTTAAGAATGCACATTGTCAATCACCCTCACCTGTACGTTTCGGCTTCTACATCGGAATCAGTCCCTCGAGGCTCGCACTCCTTTGTGAGGAGGATGGCGTTGGGCTTCGTATTCGGGCGTTGCCTTCCCAAGGCTGTAACAACAAAGCAACTCTCTCGGCTGAGAATACGGACCAGTGCTCGCCCTCCTTTAGCTCCACGGATGCCGGGAAAGTCTGAAGGACAGGTGAACGGCACAGGGGAGCTACGAATGGAAGATCTCATGGGGATTGCTATCAACTCGCTGCGAGGCCCGATCTAGGGGAGCACCGCCAGCTGGGGAGGCAATAACCAAGCATCAACATCGTATCTGCCAAGCCTGGGTCCAGGCGGGGGCCCCTGGACTCTGGGACGAAGCCCAAGTGACTATCTTCGGCACCCTCGGTGACGGAGGAACCCTGGACACTCGGGGGAGGTCCAAAACCAGCGCGCCCCAGACTCCCTGCGCGAATACGTCGGGCTCCCTCCCAGCCGGACCCCAGGACGGAGGCTAGGGCAAGAGGTCCAGATCCTTCCTTCCGAGTCGTACACCAGGCGGTGCGTGGACAGACAGAGCGCGGAAAATGCAATAGACAAAACACTTGGAGAATCACACTGAGAGAATGTGATGGCGCAGCGTGCGCTTCCAGCCCGATACGGACTGCGCTGCGTCTACCGTCGCGTGAACACTGCCGAAAACTCCTAAGGATTGCTTCGACCTGATGGGAGCGAACTCTCTGCTCGGCGCGCCTCTGCGCCTCACTCTGGCAGCAGTCGCCGGCGTGAAAGAGTTTGGCGCGAACGCGGTGCGGCGAAGCAAGCTGTTCTCATTTGAGCGCAGCACGTCGCCGAACTGAAGCATCTGCCGGTATAGTAGCAGGGTACTGGCACCCGTGTGCTGCGCACGCCTCAGCACTTCTGCGTTTGGTACTCTGGACAACCATGACGGCTTGATGCCAATGATCTTTCTGAGGCGCCTGTTCTGGAAGCCGCCAGACGCCGTGTTTGGGCTTTGTTCAAGCATGCCCCAGCGAGCCCGTAAAGCAATTTCGATTCCACCACTGAAGAGAAAATGCGTAACTTGCGTCTCCAAGTCAGAGAGGAATGGGACCACAGTTTACTGAGCGACGAAAACACCCTTTTTGCTTCGCCGATCTTGCGCCCCAGTTCAAGCCCTGCGTCTGAGTCGGCTGACAGATGCGCACCTAAGTACTGAAGCTGCTTGACTTGCTTGAGCGCCGTGCCATCGGGTGCACAAACGTCTCCTTTCGCCCCCACGGCAAGGACCTGGAACTTGTCCCAGTGCAGCTCCATGCCGTACCTGCGACCCGCGTCAGAAATTGCTTTCAAGTACTCATTCAAGGATGCGTCGTTTGTCCCAATAAGTAAGGCGGACAGCTGCGGCCTCGGAGCAGAATCGCTACCACATTCGCTGACGACAAACAGCCTCTCAGTCATCATCACGCGTATCATTGCCAGAAACTCTTCTGGGATCCCTTAGCCTCCTGAGCGCGTCCAGCAAGCTGTCAATGTGGATGCTGTTGAACGCTCTCTTCCAGTCCAGGGCGACGAGAGTAACATAGCCATTTTTCTTCGCCCTCGCCAATTCTATGTTGCGCCTCGCTGCGTAAATGGCGCGTTCCGTACTGCACCCAGCCCGGAAGCCAAATTGGGTTCGCCACAACCTGTCGTCGATGCCAGCGTCCAGCAGCCTTGCCTTCAACAGCGCGGAGAAGACTTTCATTGCGACGCACTGCAAAGATAAAGGGCGATAGTTGTCGCAGTTGGCAGGGTCCCCCTTCTTGTATAGCAGGCATACTTTTGAAGCGCACCATGAATGTGGGAGTTCCTTGCTGTTCCACGTTTCGTTACATATGTCTAACAGCCACTGCAATTGCCCAGGCTCGTCGGCCAGCGCCTTGTACACCTCTGCTGGGATGTCTTCAGGTTTGCAAACTTTCCCAGAACGCATGCGTTGCAACGTTTTCCGGAGCTCCGCATCTGTGAACATGCCCAAATTGATATCCAAGCGAGGGTGTATAACGTCCTCCGTTTTCGGCGTAAGAGTGACGTGTTGCACATGCCACTGGATCGTGTTGAGATGTTCTGCGAACGTCTCTGCACGCTCGTCTGTCGCGACGGGGACACCCGCGCTGTTATTCAACCGGCCTTGAGGTCTCGCCTTCGGCTTCGTGATGTCTTTGATGCAACTCCAGTCGCCAGAAGCAGTAAGATCTTCCAACCATCTGGCACGATCTTGCTTTGCAGATCGTTTGACCGACTTCCTCAACATGAGTTCTGCTTCCCAATCTCCGTCGACGCGTGCCTGCCGCCGGTCATCCAACAGAGACAGCGTGCGCTGGGAGATCCACGGCTTGTTCGGCGTGCGCACCATGTCTGGTACGACGGCCTCCACAGCAGCCCAAACAGAGCTCGAAGTAGCTTGCCAGCGCTGGGACAGAGAGCCACAGCGAGACAACGGCGTAGTCAATCGTGAAACCTCCTGCGACAAAGACTTCCGTCCAGCAGGTGACCGGAGCTCCCTCCAATCTTTACGCTTGCGCCTCTGCTTCGTCTCCTGTCCGGGCTCTGTCTCGCCGGTCATGAACTTTGCCAACACTGGGTAATGATGAGATGCGAAGGCGCTCGTCGTGTCACTCCGTATGTCCATTAGGTTTCTCTCCAGAGGCGCTGGGACCAGCAGCAAATCGAGGGCGTTGTAACCGTTAGCCGTGATGGGGCCACCAGGCCGGACACAAGGCTCGTGGTATGTTGCCTTGAACTCTGGTGGGAGATTGGAAACGGTGTTCGCGACGATGAAGTCAAAATCCGTACATAGCTCCATGAACAAATCACGGTTTGGGACCTCTGCTTTCTTCACCGCCTCCCGGCCGAACGAATGCTCGCCCATACTGCCCTCCTCTCCAGCACGTCTTCCACCAAGTCTGGCCGGAATCCAGGATAGACGCTCCCCTTACTCCTGGGGCGGATTGCACAATGGGGGGGGCGCCCTGGACCCCAGGGAACAAATACTTCGGGCATGGCGCATTCCGAGGCGGTGGGGCCCTAGACCTGAGATGAGTTTCTGGCTCTCGGGTATGAATTTAAGCCCTCCAGAAAAAGGTGATTATCGAGCTGTCAGAAATCACTGTACTTTCCTGATAAATCCATCATTACTGATTACTGAATACAGAGCTGGCAAGCGGAAGTCAAGCTGGAAAGCGAACTGAAAGCAAGTTGACGCAAGAAAATGACGCTGGACAGCGAACTGGGGCAACAGAAACGAAGCTGGACACAGCGATGAGGCAAACACATGGAGCTGGAAAGTGAGCTGGGGCAACATAATCAAACCTGGGAAGCGAGCTGAGGCCACGATGAGGCAAATAAGTCAAGCTGGGAAGCGAGCTGGGGCAACGGAGACGGAGCTGGAGCTGAGGCAAGAGAAGCGAGCTGGAAAGCGAGCTGGGGCAACAGAAAAGAAGCTAGACAGCGAACTGAGGCAAGGGAGTGACGCTGGAAAGAGAGCTGAAGCAACATCAACGAAGCTGGAAAACGAGCTGAAACAAAGAATAAAGCTGAAAAGCGAGCTGAAGCAACGGAAACGAAACTGGAAGCGAGCTGACGCAGCAGAGTAAATCTGGAAAACGACCTGGGGCCACAGAAACGAAGCTGGAACACGAGCTGAGGCAAGGGGATGAATCTGCAAGTGCCAACATCATACAAATCACAAGCTGACCCCCCCCCCAACAAAAAAAAACTGCAGCTACAAGTTGCACCATACAAGTGGAACGCAAGTGGAGCGCAGCATTGGGACACAGAAGTGCATGTATACTTGCACTCCTCTGCAAAACCGACTCCCCACCCGCCTCCTCCTCCTCCTTCTCCTCCTCCTCCTTTTCGGCCTCCTCCTCCTCCCTCTCTTCATCAATTTCCTCCTTCTCCTCTTCCTCCTCCTCCTCCGCCTCCTCCTCCTCCTCCTAGCCCACTCTCCCCCTTTCCCCCTTTCCCCCTATTCCCTCTCCAAATCTCCCCCTCCCCCTCCTCCTGTCCTCCTGCGTCACTCCACCCCTTCCCCCCCCCAGCCCCCCCCCGTCCCCCCTCCCCCCCCCCCGCGCCTCATCTCACATCCATGCAGTTCGCCATCTGCCCTTTCCCCTTGCCCCTTGCCTTCCCAGGCCCTGGGTTCCTCCCACCCCCTCACTCCTTAGGCCTTTTGCCTCAATCCCCCCCCCGCGCCTCCTAATCCCTCGCCCTCCTCCCCTCCTCCCTCTCCCTCCTTCCCCCTCCCTCCTCCGCCCCCCTTCCTCGCTCCTGGCTCGTCGACCCCCCCCCTTCCTCCTCCCTTCCTCCTCCCTTCCCGCTCCTCTTTATCTTTCTAGCCTTTGGCCCTCCTCCTCCCGTGCCCCTCCCCCCTCCTCCAGGACTCCAAACCTCCCTCCTCCCCCCCGCCTTCTTCCCTTCCCCCCCTTTGCCCGCGTGGGGCCGCGCGCGGGCCCCCCTCCGAGCGGCAGCGGCTCGCCGCAACGCCGCGCGCGCGCCAGAGGTTGAGAAGGCCGCGGCGCCCCCCCCCCCCCCAAAACAACGCGCCGATGACTGACCACACGCTGCACCAGTACCTCGTTTGAACGAGGACTTATCGACTGTCCCAGCTGGCATCAACAGGCCTTCCGAGTAGTCCAGGACGGTCTCGACATCCCAACCTTGGGGCGCGGAGCGCCCCAGCGGCGCCGCCGAATGCGGCGCCAGGGTGCTGAGACCGCCCAGGGCTTCTCGGGGGGCCTGTTGAGGCCAGCTGGGACTACTCGGGGGGCCTGTTGAGGCCAGCTGTGACTACCTGTGGGAGCTGACTGCGCGCAGCCCGAAACCTTACCAGTGGGTGTTCCAGATCACCCAAATTGAATCGGGAAATCGAATCGGCAATCGACATACGTGAAATCGGTTGAAATCGGCAGGCAGATTGGAAAGCATCGAAATCGACGCCTGGCGGTCCAAGCCGAGGCCTGCACCAAAAACCCAAACCTAAGTCGGAATTCGGAGTCGAATCGAACCGGTGTCGAAATCCTAGAAATCGAATCGACTCGCGCCGACAGGGTCAAAATGGCCCCCGCCCCCCCTGGCACCAGCACGGCCTGCCCGGCGACCGCCGCCCGCCACGTGGGGCTGCGCGCCACGCGCGGGAAGATGGCCAGGTGGGTGAGGACGGCGAGGGCCCGCGCGGCCTGCGTGCAGGGCGCGCTGGCTTTCCCGGGTGTAGCAAGCACAGATCCACGACCACGAGCGACCTCGTCCGAATGCAGGCCAGGATCAGTCAGCATCGAATCGGGAAATCGGATCGAATCGGAGTGCGCGTGGGATCGGACCGCATCGGCAAGGAGTCGAAACCGAATCGGCTCGGCTGCACCAGGATGCACAGCAGCGACATGTAAGCATCGGCCCGCATCGGATCGCTGGAAATCGAAGCCGAATAGGATCGAACTGGCCCAGCACAATATAAAGGCGGATCGATCAGATCGAAGTGGGCCCTGGCTGAGCGTGAATGCACGCGCGCGGGAATGAATCCAACCACTCCTCTGGGCGGAGGTGGTGTAGAGCGCGTCCTCTTCCAATCCTCTTGTTTCCCTTCAGGCAGGGGCAATCACTGCTGCTTATTGATAAGCACCCCCTCCCCCACCTCATCAGCGCGCCAATCAGGAACCATGCGCCACCCCCGCCGTCCCTACCAGAAGAACAAAAAACACACGCGGCGGCAAGACCCGGACGAGGAACGGGCACTCCGCGACCATTCTGCACTGATGTGGATGTGTGAGCATAGCTGTCCACTGCGCGATGCCCCACTAGTCCTGCAAAAAAAAAGTCAGCTCGTTGAGGGTGCACACGCCTTACACCATGCTGCTGACCACCCCGCCGCCACTGTGCATTGAAGTCTGAAATGGGTGGCGTGAGGGGGTCGACATGTTGCCAGATGTTTGCTGTCGCTGCCCGGAACACCCTGAGCGCGTCGCACGTGGCACTGTTGGCGTACGTGATGCCTAACTGGCACCGCTGGCCCACTGCCGCGTGCTCTCCCCCTCCCGACACCCGGTTGGATGACCCAGAAGGTGTGTGCTAACGATAACGTGCGTCTGTCCACAGAAGCCCCTCGGCTTCGGGAGCGCGGTACACTGAGGGTTACCACGGACTCCGACACTGTCGCCGCAGGCTGCCGAGGGAAACCTGGACTGGGCTATCTCTCGCTCCACGCAGTATCGAAGCGGAGCGGACCGGACAAAACGAATACAGCGAAACAAACATGGACGAAGCGAGCCCTGGCGAAATGAATCGGGCGAAGCGAACCAGGTGAAGCGAACCAGGCGAAGCGAATTGGGCGAAGCGAACCAGTCCAAGCGAACCTGGGCGAAGCGAACCCCGAGCGAAACGAACCTGGACGAAGCAAACAATATAGCGATCCAGGGCGGGGTCGGGCGAAACGAAACAGACGAAACGAACCTAGCGAAGCGATCCGGGCGAAGCGAGCCTGGGCGAAGCAAAACGAAGCGACCTCTGGGCGAAGCTAACCAGGGTGAGGCAAGCGCGAAGCGAAGCGAACCTACGCGTCCAGATGGCCCATCTTTGGTCATCTTAAGAGCTTCTTCGGTAACTCTAGAGCCGTCTCGCCTCCTCCGTTATCTCTGTCTTTCTTCTGCAAGGCCTCGGTCAGGTCAGTGATGGTCGATTGCCCATCTCATAAGCGAAATCCTCCACAACCCGCGCCGCCTCCACCAAAGCAAGCGCATCCGCTGGAAAGGAACAAACTGATTCGCTGATGTGCTTTCATTCGAACTGTTGACAGCCTCCACGCACCGAGCGACTGAGGAGTACGGCTCTGCTCGAATGTCGCCGTCGCTGTGAATCAAACAATGTGCTTACTTGAGATCGACCAGGCCTGCCGGAAATAGTCGATAACATGTTCGTCCATCTATGAAATGGTTTACAGAACATATGATTTGATCTGCTGGTGACGTGTGCGCCGCAATGATATATCATCCGCGTATTGCGACAGTCTCCAGCCAACTCCCAATGTGTCAAATAACGTCAGTGTGATTCTGTGCTATACCCTCAGATGTTCCTCACTACGCGACTCCTTTTCCTCCTCGATTCCCGTCGTTTCAAAAACTGCTCCCGCAACCCTGCGCGCAACTATGCGTGCGCCACTGCTGGATGTCTGCGGCGCACGCGCCCTATATGCACTGGAATACGGCGTCGGAAATGTTACCACTCTGTCTGCCACAACTCAAAAGTATAAACATATTCAGCATTGCGTTTGATAGATGTCGGCCTCCGCTTTTCTTCTCCCTGCCAGCGACGCAGAAGGAATGCCTTCTGTCGCTGGTCATCGCATGCCCAAGCTGCAGCACGACAGTGAACACGAATTGTTGGATCAGCAATGCCTCTCAAATCCAGCTGAGAAAAGGGCAATATCTGGTGCTATGAATACGTAACGTGCGCACTGACTCTGGCGAAGCAGATGGCGACCGTCAGCCCCATGCCTGCTACCGCCAGCGCGCACGCACTCAAAACCACAGATGTCAGCACCATGCGTCAGAGGTACTGCTTTCAGCCCCGCCTCATTGTGCCTGGCGAGCATAACCAACTTCCACTACTGCTGAATACATTCGCACCACGGAACCAATCTTGCACTTTACAGTTGCGGGCGTCAACTTGGCTTATCCCACCTGGTTGAATAACGACACCACCTGCCGCTGACAGTCGTCACGCGCACCAGTCTAGCAACCATACCCGCCAGCTCACTTGGGGCAATAAGGCTGTGAACAGTGAAGCTGGATTGCTGTATTGGGTTCTTTCTTCTGTCGTCTGCTTCTTGCCCCGTGCTTCTCCAGTCACGTCTCCTTTCTACTGTCTATTGTGGCCCGCGGCGCAAAAACAAACATCTGGAGGGGGGTTGCCACCGCCTCCTGGCTGCTCTAGGTTGCCCGATGGCTCTCCTGGGGACGCCACCAGACGGCCAAGGGAGCCAACGAGGCCTCGAAGACAGCCCACAGCCCCACGAGGCCCCGAAGAGGGCCTCCGAAGATGACCCCACGATGCCTCTCAGGTGGTCCAGAAATGCCAGAAGACGACCCGAGAGCAAACATAATCGACCAACGATAGTGTGAACAATGCGTTGGACCTGTCCGACGTTTTGCTGCTAAGATGTCCGAAGCTCGTTTCTAAACGGCCCTCAGGGCCTCCGATTTGACCCCCCAAGATGCCGCCAACATCGCGCGGAATGGCCCAACAAGACCGCAAGAGGCCCCCGAGATGACATCAGAGGCCCCAAGATAGCCCCACGAATGCCCGGTATGTTCCAAAGGTGGCACGAGTGGCTCCAAGATGCTCCGAGAAACCCAGATAATGCCCAAAAAGGCCCCCAAACTGTCACATTGTAGTCGCAAGACAACATGGCTCAACCTCGGGCGCAGCTGTCACATTCTGCTATTGCAGCTGATGGAGTTGATGGCTGTCGGCCTGCACTTCGTGTCTTCCAACCAGCTGGCACGCCTCAGCTTCACCATTGGACTTGATGGCCGGTACAGGTTCCCACCTTGCCTCCTGCACCAGACCGACAAAAAACTGCCCAGGCCAGTTGCGAACATGTGGCGCACGGTCTCTGGCGTTATAACAGACGGCTGTCGACCTGAGTGCGACGCCACCTACCCCAAACATCCGCCGTCGCGCACCAAAAAAACGGCGTCGAGAAAAACACCAGGTCCGAAAATAGGCGGACATGCCCGTCGAGATCTCGTCTCCGCGGCGCCCGGCTGTCAGGGACCGGCGGCCTCCATAACGGCCGCCCGCGCTGCCGCTGACGGGGCCGCGATGCCTGGCGGCCCCGCCTCAGCGCCACCCGCTACGGCCGGGAGTTTTTGGATACCGCGTCACCGCGGCGGCCCCGGCGACGCGCTATGCGTTGCGAGCGGATAGCGCGTCGCTTCTCTGCGCGGGGCGGGATGCTCGGAAAGGCTCGGGACGTGGACGCCTGGGAGCTGGGAAGTGAATAGCGTGTCGCGCCGCAGCGTGGCATGCCAGAATCGGAAAAACCGACGCTTTATCCGAAAAATCCCGACCATCTGCGCAGCTCGGCTCCGCCGCTGTGCCCACTTCCTGCGGCGCCCAGCGCTGGCGGCCTCACCGATGGCTCTCGGCCTCCGCCTCGGGCTCCCGACGGCCCGCCTCGGGCTCCCGACGGCCCCGCTGCGCCGCCGCGTGGACGGCGCCGCGCGGCCCCGCCGCTGCGTCCGCCAAAGAACCGTCGGAGTGCGCGGAGGAGGCGGTCCTCGGGGCAGCCGAAGCCACCGAAGATTGATGGTCGACGTTCGGTTCGTTCCTCCTCCTTTTCCTCCTTTTCCTCCTCCTCCTCCTCCTCCTCCACGGCTCGCCCGCGAAAAGAACTTTCCCTTGTCGCACCCCCAGACGGGTCGGCGGGGCTGGCCTGGCGTTTCACCTGAGACTTCCTCACCGCCCATGACCCTGAAACTCGACATCCCGCCAGCCCTCTGGTCATAGGTGGCCCAGGGGGGTCCCTCGCCCAACCAACTTCGTCCTTTTCGTGAAGGGGTTTAAAATTGTTCCTCATTGATCTAGGGGCGCGAACTACAGTTTTGACCGCGTTTCGGGAGTCGCATAGAGAAGCGCCGCGCTGGCCCCCCCCCCGACCCCCGCCCCCTGATGCAAAGCTGAAGAGACCGACGAGAGACGACGGCAATGGACCTCATGGGCGACGTCGTCGCGACGCTTCGTTGCTCAGCTTTGCATCGCTGGAGGACGGGGGGGGCGCGGGCTGCGCGTTCGCCTGGGCGCGGCGACAGATTCGGCTACAACTGCATGGGCGCGCCGTGGCATTTCCGCTTCGATCGCCTCCCGAACGGCGCAATATGGGGCACCGCGGTCAGAAACTTCAGTGGCCCGCAAGGGCCAAGACTGTCCGCAGTGCCACCAAAGCCTCGCGAGTGGGAGAAAAAGTCAAGGGGCGGAAATCTGGTTCGGCGGCTCCATTCTGCGCGGTCGTTTGAGACGCGCGCCCCGGGCCCTTGGCCCGGCGCCGCGCAACTGGCATTGCAGCCTGAATGGGGAAGCACCACGCAAAGTGCGCGCGACGCTGCGAGCTGATTCTGCAGGGTGACTCCGCCACTCGCCCCAGCCAACACGGGAACGCCCCCCGGCGTCGCTGTCGCGGCAGGGTCGTAGAAACCGTGTAGGAACCGGTTAAACCCGAGTAGAAACCGCGATTTGTTCAACATAGGGTCCACTTCGTTAAAAAAACAATTGA